GACAAAGATCAGAAACATTGAGCTCTCCAAAGAATATGACTACATGGGACTAGAGTCCTCCAAGCCCATAAAAATCCATAAATTCATAATGATGTCTTATAAAAATTAAACTCAATTATTATCTTAGAAGTTCCTAGTAGCAAGCCAACTCATCATTTTGAAAATAGTATATAAAAGGAAAACTGAAGGATTGAATCTGACTTTTCTGAACAAATGCTATTTCAGGGTAATCAACCAGTTAATGAGGGAAATCTCCTCTTTAAACAAAGACTTTAGCCATACACGCTACAATCAGAATACCGACGTTAAGCAGACTCCAGTAAAACAATGAGCGTAGGGAAGACTAACTAAAAGCTACTTAAACCTTACGTGAACACTGATTACACTTGAACTCACTGATCAATCTTAATATCTCTAAAAGAATAACTACCTGGTATTAAGGCCCTTTTGATGCAATAGGGAACACACAGGGCCCTCTACAAACTATTTGTCAGAAAAAAAGAAAAAGAAATTGAACCTGAACTGAATCAAGCCTGCAGATCTAATTATAATTTACAGGAAATTTAGTGGGCAGAGGTATACTAAATCATATTACCAGAATGCTAGCAAAAAAAAAAGTCTAGAACACAGAAAGTTCTACAGAACAAATGATTCAATTTCTTTAAAAAAAAAAAAAGGCATTAAAAGAAGATGAGAAAGGTCTTAAATAGACATTTCTGCAAAGAAAATAGACAAATGGCCAATAAGCACATGAAAAGCTGTTCAACATCAGGGGTCGTTAGGAAAATGTAAATCAAAACCACAATGAGATTTCCCTTCATATCCATTAGAATGGCTACTATCTTAACAAGGGAAAATAAAAAATGCTGGGGAAGATGTATAGAAATTGGACTCTTCATGCTTTGCTGCCAGGAATGCAAAAGGGTGCCGCCATCCTGGAAGATAGGTTGGCAGTTCCTCAAAATGTTAGATATAGAATTACGGTATAACCCAGCCATTTCACTTCTATGCACAAACCCAAAACAATTGAAATGTGGGGCTCAGACAGACAGTTACACATCAATGCTCACAGCAGTACTATTCATAATAGCCAACAAGTGCCAACAACCCAAGTGACCATCAAGGGTTAAATGGGGTTTTAAAATGCGGTCTATATGGACAGTGGGGTATTACTCAGCCAGAATGAAATGGAAAACGCTATGGTAAGTGCACCAAGCACCAAAGGGAAAATGATTTAACTTCTATGTGGTACCTAGGGCAGATAAATTCTTAGACTGAGAAAGTGGAAGGAAGTTACCAGTGGTTGAGGGGTAGAGGCATGGAGAATTTTTGTATAATAGGGGTGGAGTTTCCATTTGGGATGATGAAAAGGGTCTGTACATAGAAAATGGTGATGGTAAATGTACTCAACGCTACTAAGTTGTTTACTGAAAATGGTTAAATTGGTAAATTTTATGTCAGTACATTTACACACACACACACACACACACACACACACACACACACACACGCACAAAGTCACCAAAAAATGAATGGAGTGGGAATGATTTCTAAAAGTGAAGAAACATACAAATCAAATCCAATGCCTGAATCTGGCTGGCTCTTAGCGCAAGTAGACAAAGTCTAAAAAGACAGTCACTACTAAAGCTAAATATACTCATAACCTATCACCCAGTATTTTTACTTCTGGATTTATACCCACCAAAATTAGTGTTTAAATTCACACACAAGAATAAGGTTCCAGGATACAGCTCAGTGGCACAAGCACCTGCCTGGCAATCACAAGGTCCTGAGTTTGATTCCTGGTACCAAAAAAAAAAAAAAAAAAAAAAAGAAGAAGAATGTTCCATGTAAAACTCAGAGCTCTAAACCAAATGCCCTCAACCAAATGGATAAATTGTAATAAATTCATATAGTGAATACTATACTTACATGAGAAGGAAAAAATTAATGCAGATGAATCTCACAGATAAAATATTAAGCAAAAGAAATGAAAGACAGACTATATGCTGCTTCACTTCATTTATGTAAAGTTCAAAAACAGCCAAAATAAGCCGAGCATGGTGGCACACGCCTGTAATCCCAGCACTCGGGAGGCTGAGGCAGGAGGATCATTGCAAGTTTGAGACCAGCCTGGGCTACAAAGTGAGCTCAAGGCCAGTCTGAACTGCAGACCCTGTCTCAAAACAAACAAACAAAAAAAACAAAAACAAAAACAAAAACAAAACAGCTAAAGCATACAGAGATAGAAGTCAAATGGTAATTACTTGGGGAGCACTTCCTAGGATGGAGCACAAAGGTTTCATCTGTAGCAAAGGAAGTGTGTTATATCCTAATTTTGGAGATAGTTACAGGGCGTAACATTTGTAAACATACTGAAGGGTGCACTTAAGATATGTACATACAGGAACCTGAAATGAAAAATAAACTGAAGACATTTTTCCATAGCCAAAAAAAAAAAGACCTTGCATCCACCACAAAAGGCTAAAAGTTACTCATACCTGCTCGTTCCTATATTGCACATAACGCCAGATAAATCAGTAGGGAAAGTGGATGAGCAAGGAAAGTTAACTATCCTGGTTGAGGCTCCAGGCATAGGGAGCAAATTCTTTCCTGGGAATTTACAACCACAAGCTCACCCTCAGTATCAGTTCAGGGCTTGAGATCATACTACCTGTGCAGTTTTTGAAATTCTATGCTCCAAGACACTAATTTACTGTGAAACCCTTAAGGACTACACAGGAATAAATAGTAAGGGACAAGGTCTCCCCTAAAGCTGTCCAGAACTGCCACAAAGGGACACATGTGCATTCACTCACAACCCAAAAATATAAAAATCACAAAAAAGCAACCTCTACCCCTCTGCTAGAGTTGGCAGAAAAAGCAAAGGGCAGAATTAGACCCCTCCCTTTTCTCAGGTGGTGGAATTACGCTGTAAAATATAAAACACCCTTTAAATCTCTATATTAAAAAAGAATTAAAACATAGGATTATATAAAAAGACCTGACATATTTGAAAAAGAATAAAAAACAACTTATAGAAACAGCTAAGTAAATAGAAAACCAAAGGAAAAAGTAAAGTAAGAAAGAGTAAAAGCATATATAAATATATTGATAAATATAATAAATATAAGTAAATTAAAGTTACCAGTTTACAAAAAAATATGTTTTTCACAGTAGATTAAAAACAGAAGCCAGCTAAATGTTCTTTATGAGAGAAAATCCTAAAACAGGAGAGGCCAAAAAGGTTACAAATAATGAAATGGAAAAAGATATATCTGAAAAATAGTAACCTAAAAAAGCTGGTGTAGCCGGGGATACAGCCCAGCAGCACAAGTGCCTGCCTGGCAAGTGCAAGATCCTGAGTTCAATTCCTGTTACCCAAAATAAAAACAAACAGACAAACAAAAAAGCTGGTGTAACCTACATTAATACCTAACAAAACAGATGTAAGGATAAAAAGCTTTCTCAATAATAATAAAAAAAAAAATCAACAAACAGCCAGGAAGATACATTCATACCTCCATTCACAAATGCTTCTCTTCACAAACAATTCTGTTCTCAAACAGAAGCATTTGACAAAATTTTGCTTCCATTCACAAACTGCACATCCGGTGACAGACAACCACAGCCATCTTCCCAGTGAACACAAATGCAGCCATCTTCCCCAAAATCATAAAACAAATTAAGTTTGTGAACCGAGGGACCACTGTATTATCATTCTAAACTTGAGCACGCCCAGAATGGGATATTGAAGTTGATTGCATTGTCCTGGTTAGAGTTGAGGCTCCAAAGCTGAGAACCCATGATTTTAAGATACTGAACAGCAAAATTAAAGAAAGATAGTAGGAAGTAGGAAGATAGATCTTTCTCAAATAGGAAGCAGATTAAGAGGAGAGAGGGAGGGAAGGAGAGGAGGTGAAAAAAGGAATAAAGATGTGCTATGTACATGCACAGGCTCCACACAAGGAATATAAACATCATGTGTTGCAAATGTGTACTGTGCTAATAAACATAAAGATCCCATGCATTATGAAACAGACAGTTCTTAAAAGGCAGCAGGTGAAACAACTGTTAGCCCACTGCCCACTTTGAGGTCAGAGAGGGGAAACTTGCTCTTTGGTAGAGATTTGGTGGCGATACTGTAAAAACTTAAAAAGAACTATTTAGAGACTGCCTGGTGTCTGGTGTCCTCTAGAATTTGGGGATGGAGAAGCTGACCCATGCCTAAGTCCTGAAGTAAGAGGCTGGTAGCTACTCAAACCCTGCGGGCAAGAAAGAGTGCCCTGGAGATAAGACGCTACCCTTCCTCAGAAAGAGGGGCAGATGCACTGGCTTTCCACGGGCCACATGCTCCGCTGGGAATGAAGCCACCCTCCTCTGTCTCTAAAATTACCCCAGCAAGGTGACCCAAACCCACAGGGTGGGTGCAGCGGAAGCACAAGGCAGGGAGAAAGAAATAAATAATTTCAGTTCAAGGCACAACTTGGGTGCCTTTGAGAGACTGTGTTATGTGCTGGACCTCAAAGATTAGACAGAGTTCCTGTCTTTGTGTTTTCAAGTCAATGGAGGAGAATTCGGTATCCAAACAATTTCAGTGTAAGTGACACTGGGAAGAGGAATAGTTATCTAAGGGTTTAAAATTTCACAGTAAGATATGGGGCAGTGTGGCTGGATCGGATGGGGCCATTAAATCCCAACAGAAATTGCTGACCTCAAAATGAGCTTTTAGGGCCGGACTTAAGAAATGAGCAGCAGGTATGGAAAAGGAGAGAAAACTTCAGCAAAATCTGAACAAGAAACAAGAGCTGACAAAGCGTTAAGACTGGCTGGATAGAGGAAGTAAGGAAAGATGGTGATTCTCAGGTTCCTGAGTGACTTAAGGGAAAGTATGCTGTAGTTAAAACCATGAGAAAAACTGACAGAGCCCTGGGAGCATGCGCAGGGGAAGCTGGGAGCACGCGCGGGGGAAGCTGGGAGCACGCGTGGGGGAAGCCGGGAGCACGCGCGGGGGAAGCCGGGAGCACGCCCGGGGGAAGCTGGGAGCATGCGCAGGGGAAGCACAGCTAGGAACCACTACGGGAGCTCCCGGCAGTTCCAGCATCAGGTTGCGCCGTTAGTAAAATAGCATCTAGGGTACCACGAAGGGCCTGAACCAGTGGAGCCTGGTAAGTTTTTGGAGCTGAGGATGTCAAGAAAACTAATTTTAAAAAATGCTACTGACCCAGATGTCTACTTTTAGATTGTCAGTTCACATTTTAAGTTGATGGCTCAGGGTTATTGTGATTATAATAAATAAAATGCATACCTCGTTGAGGGTCAACATATCTTCTACTCTGGTAGCACCACTTTCAGGCAAGGAAATCAACACAGTTTTGGCTATCTCCTTCAGAACCGTATCAATATTCATTTCACACAAGTCACTGACCTGCCCACAAGGAAATACATGTAAAAGAATTCTTTTAAAACCCTCTTTTCCCCATTAGTGCTAACTTTTCGTCCAAAATGTGCTGAAGTCATAAACTAATTTAGAGAACTAAATCTGGACGTCCTGAATCAAGCATAATTTGGCGAAAATTCTGTGTTTCCTCGAAAATAAGACCTAGCCAGAAAATAAATTTCAGATGTAATTAATGGCTGGTTGTTACCATGGTGATGGTCAGTGTCATGCAGAAGATTATACTTCACTGTTCTCTTGCTCTGTGGCCACTCTGTAATGACAGCTAAGGCAAGGATAGGCTGATTGGGGCTGGCATTTTTTAATCTCTAGTTAGTCTTATTTGTGGAGAAACACAGTCCACGTTTTAGGAGCACATCTGCCAAGAAAGCTTGACATGGAACTGAAGTTTTCTTTAGCATCAACAGGTGCCATAATCTCATACGTGTTATCTCCTTTGATCCTTATTTCAGCAAATGAGACACTACTATCCTAGTTTTCTAGCTAAAGATGCCAAGGCTCAGAGGAGTAAAATAATCTAGGAAAAAACAAAGCTAATAAAAAGCACAGAATCCTACCAAGGTTTATCCAAATCCAAAGCCTCTGAGCTCATCTGTAACACTATGCCACTACAACAAACTAGCACATCTCTGAAAAGATGTGCCTGGACTGTGTATCAAATATGTCAGAAATCAACAGGCAGACTCCAATTAGCCTCATGCCTCATCTAGCTAATTTAGATGTGTTACTATTAATATTTAGGTACTTCACTCTGTCACCGTCTACAGTCTAGGATTACCTCATATTCTAAACTACAATGCCAAATTGAATCATCATCAAAAGCAAGATAATTCAGGGATTAGAGCAAGGCAATGTAGATGAAAAGACTCCAAATCAGTAAAAGAAACATAAAACATTATTTTTGAATGTAATAGTTGTTCTTTTAGTTAAAAGCCATATCCTTCAAAGACCTTCTATGTATAATCAAACTATTGCTTATAGCCTCAGTATTAATGGATGTAGCTTTTATTTTATTTTATTTTATTTTATTTTGCTTTGTCTTTTTGAGAAAGGGTCTCGCTATGCAATTCAGGGTGGCCTTCAGCTCACTTGGTAGCCCAGGTTGGTCTCAAACTCACAATGGTCCTCCTGCCTCAGCCTCCCAAGTGCTGGGATTACAGGTGTGCACCACCATGCCCAGCTTATGGATGTAGCTTTTAAAAACTGATTGATTTTACCTTCTTGAGAAGTTGATTGAACATGCCCAAGACTGATTCAACTTCTTGAAAGAAACTTTCCAGAGTTAATGATGACCATGTTAATATTGTAAGACCCTGCCTTAACACAGATTCCACCTAGAAAAAGTAAAAAGAGAACAAAAAATAAAAAGAAAACAGAAAGTAAAAAGAGAACAGCTTCCATTATGAACAGGAGCACCTGCATTTACAGAAAAGATCTTCTTTTCTTACCTGCAAATACATTTCCTTAACTACCGTTTCCTATCGTTACGCCTGATAAAGATGCCCTTTTGTTTTAAATGACCTTATCTTTGGCTGCCCAGGAAGCAGGCATGTATTTATAGAAAGCATTTATGATTTAGATTTAGTTGTTTTCCAGAGGCAACAAAACAGACAAGAAATCATTCTATAGGAAAAATCAGAGCTATAAAGTTGAACTAGACAGAGAGAAGGTCTAGGCAAAAATGGATGATCCAAAAACCATCATCTACAGAACTAGAATCTAATTTAAAATAACAGGGAGATCAGTGTAAACCTCCAGCATCACTAACCTTTTTCATTTTAGGGGTCATCAGGTTGACGAACACTGAAGGCACTTCCTGACATAAATCATCATAATACTGCAGAAGACCCTGCAAAAAAGTCAAAACGGCATATTTTACTTGCGTTTACTTTAAAGCAATGGTCACCTTCTGATTCACACCAGGAAGATTTCATTATACCTCTTTCCTCAGAGTCTTGCTGTCTTGGTTATTTTTCTCTCATTGCTGGGACAAAATACCCAACACCCAAAATGAAGGAAGGAAAGGTTTAGTTCACAGTTTGCGGAGGTTTCAGTCCATACTTGGCTGGCTCCACGGCAGAGTGGCACATGACACAGGGCTACAGTTCATGGCCACAGAAGACAGCAAAAGCAGTAAAAGCACAAGGGAGGAATGGCGGGAAGCAGCCTCCTCCTCTCCCTTACATATGCAAACTATCAGCCCCAGGGCAGTGTAGCTCTCACACGCATAATCCCAGCCTTGGACCATGGATCAATCAAAAATCTATAAGCCCACACCATGACTGCATGAGGATTTGCGGGGAGGTGCAGACACAAACCACAACACTTGCCATCCCAGAGTCTGCCCATTTAAACTGAGTTGAAATAATGCACTATTTTACCCTGTGATGTGAAAGAATCATTTCTGTTCACATCACTTTATAGACATCCCACTCTCTTAATTTATATATTATTAGTGCCCTAAAATTAAATACACTATAAAAACTTTATGCACCTAATCTATAAAGTTATAAATCTTCTACGTCATCACTCTTTATCTGGACAAGTCTGACTTCTGATACTCTTCTCACTTCCTATTTTCCCTTACCAATCTTTTGTTTGCAAGTCAGTATTATAACTCTGTCAAGAATCAGCCTGGTAACAAATCTTCCCTCGGTGTCAGCACACCTGCAGGGATATATCTTTCTTGTACCAGAAAAAAGAAAAAAAAAAAAAAACTCCTTCAAAGATAATCAGAAAGCATCATCTGTCTTACCTGTAAATACAGTTTGTCTGCTTTCAATTTACTTTCCAACTTCAGCAATCTCTTTGCCTGTTCTGGGACATCCAACTTCATCTTTATCATGCACTTAGTTTCCCGCACAATTTCCAAAATTTTGGGATCAAAATTAACCAGCAGCTTTCCTGTTTCTGGATGTCGCACAAAAAGTGTGGCTTGTAAAGCTACAAATAAATGATTATTGACGTTACTTGTCCTGGATTTCCTTTCTGCTTCCAGCTCTGTTTACGTGGCTGCCGTCTCCACCGAACTACTAACTTCTGAAGGGCAGAACAACAGCTTTGGATGTTCCCACTGAGAAGGCGCAGGACCTGGCATGTACTCAGCAGTCAAAACTTGGATCAAAGAGGCAGTGTTTGCAGAGCCACAGAATCAGAGCCAGAGAGATAAAATTTGATGAAGAATGGATAGTCCTCTTATTTTTATGGATTATCACTTAACCACTGAGAGTCAGAAGATGGACAGATCTACAAAGCTAAAACACCTCAGAGATTTCAAACTCTCTTCCACCCTGATGTCAAACTGGCTTCTCTAAAGTTTACCTGAATTAAAGCTGTATTTTTAATTTCTGATACTTAAGATCAGTATCAGTAAGAAATATCTGTTAAACAACATTGAATTGCAAACTCTTAGAATGTAGAGGATTTTTTGTACTACTGTTCAGGTGCATATCATCCACATAAACAGGTATTTTCAGAGACGTTTCTTATTAGGAATTGAAAAATATATCCCCGAACAGTTCTTGCTGGGTAGCCTTAGATTATTTGTTATCCTAACATGAATTACTTCTAGATGCATAATAATAAAACATGTATAGACTTGAATGTGTGTGTTCAAATTACATGCTATTTTAACAAACACTACTAACATGAGAATTTCATGATGACCACAGAATCTTTCCAGCCTCACATTACCTCGTAGAATGTGGCAACATCAAATTTCTAGCAAAATAAATTGGTCCCAATATCCCTTTGAAGTTAGCTTTTACTCACTAGATAAAATGAGATGTGATAGGGTCTTATGGGTGCAAGTGACATGAGCATTTCAACTAAGAATTTTGTCCAAATAACTTGGAATCTTTTTAGAATTGGGTTAGAGAACATTTGTCCTCCCAAGTAAATTCCAAAATGTTTGAATATTATTTAATGAAACTGTTTTCCTTAAGACTGTGCTGAGCTTGTCAAAAAGACAAAAAGTTCAGCAGCATGACGAAGACAAACCAACAGCAACAACCAGGAAGCCTGCTCCAGGACTGAGAGCATTTCATTCCATGTGAGTTGCCAAAGGCTCGTATGTATATGTAATAGTTGCCCAAGATTAGTACAATAATTGTGGGTCACAAACATATACCAAGAAAAAACTATAATGCAACCAAAGAAGGCCGATATGAGGCTCCCAATTATTATTCCAAGTTTCAGTATTTACATAGAGTCACATCAACAGAGCAGCAGGAAGCCTTCCACAGCAATCAATCTCCCACAGCTTGGGCTCACAAGAAAAAACTTTATATATTGTTAGTCCTGTATGTGACCGCTTCCCCTAGGTACCACCCCACTGCAATGAGCTACTGGACCTAACAGGTGTCAATCAATGTTCTCAGGGGAATAAACTCCCCAGAAACCTGACATAATTGTCACTTATCAAGATTGTCTGATCTCAGCCAGATGTGATGGCATGTGGCTGTAATCTCAGCACTCTGAGAGGCTCAGGCAGAAGGATCACAAGTTCAAGCCCAGCCTGGGTACTTTAATGACTTAGCAAGACTTGTCTCAAAAAAAAAAAAAGTTCAGTGCAAAAACCCTGGGTTCAATGCCCAGTACTACCAAAAAATATATATACATATACATATACATATAGACGATAGAGATAGAGATATATAGATATATATAAAATGATTGTTTGATCTCTACTTATTGGGTGTTATAAAGATATTCAAAGATATCATACAGTATGTCTGGCACCAATCTTGGCATTGTTAGAAGCAGAACAGTCTAAGAGTTAAGAGAACAGACTTCGGAGACAAACTATCTGAATTCTGGCTCTGTCATTTACTAGTATGAGGGCAGGTCACTTAATTGCTCAGTCCCTCCGTTTCCACCTCTGTATCACACGGACGGTAATAATTCCTCATAAGGTTGCTTATCAGGATTAGAGATTTGCGTACACAGTGTTTAGACAAACCTGGCACATGATAAGCACGGGGTAAGTATTAGTATTGACCATTATTTAAAGGACAGCAGATGAAACAGAGAGAGAGAATCCTCACATTGTGCAGGGGAGATAAGGCAAACACCTAAAGCAGTTAAGTGTCATGAGCAGGAACTGCACATAAAATGTGTGGAGGATTCTGGAGAAGGGAGACATTCTTCTCTGCCAGAAAGAATAGGAGCGGGTTTTATGGAATAGGTGTCTGTCTGTTGAGCTTATTTTTGAGTATGTGCAATTGAAAGGAAAGGCACGGATGCCAGAAAAGCCAGCACATAGAAAAGTGCAGCACAGCGAAGAAGCAAAACAGTACTTTCGATGGTAAAAATTCCTTTTTGCCTTTTTCCATAGTGTGCGCTTTAAGCTAATCTTGATGCTCTTTGAGAATGCTTCAGGCTTTCATTGCAGTCCACACTCTCCTCCGGTACCACGCTCCCCGGATACGGCTGGCCTTTTAACGCTGGTTTATTAACGGCCTAGCTATGGTGCCAGCTGGGGGCAACACCTTGCGGCGCTTGGGAATCAATGCTCGGTCCGGTCCATGAATGCTTTGTTCTCAGCAGCTAAACTATATTAGTTTTGGAGTCAAGAAGCAAAAAGAGAAAGGGCCCCTCCCAGCATCTCTCTCGGCAACCCGCCCCAGATGTGCTCCCTGGGCCCGCGGCACCGGGCTCTGCTGAAGTGGAGATCCTGGCTTCGTAGAAAAAGCTAGAGGCTGAGCTGACCAACAGTTGAGTCCACATGAAAGTCACATCCCAGAGGATGCCAGACGCGATGGGACCCCCGCCTCCGCTGAACTCTATCCACACGGCCCCGCCCCCGAGAGTCAATCCTATCGCTACTAAGTCACTGCAGCTCAAAACCGAAATTAAATTCAGTTATGGGGGAAAAAGAGAAAGAAGAAAAAGAGGAAGTAAAAGAGGGAAGGTAGCTGTAATTCTTTCTCCCCTGACTGATGCTGAAACTACAACATAATAAAAGCTAAATATGAGGGGCTAGGGATTTAGCTCAGCAGCACAGCGCCTGCCTGGCAAGTGCAAGGTCATGAGTTCGATTCCCGGTACCGGAGAAAAACCGAAAAAAAAAAAAAAAAAAAGAAGCTAAATATGAAAACCTTCATAAACCTATGGAGAAATATCTATTGAGATATTTTTACTTTAAATTTTCTCTCTCCAAGGAAAAGTCGTAGTTTACAGTCATGACAATCTTTACTCATAAAATCTGAATATTAACAGTTATAAACAAATAGTGGCACAGCGCCTGCCTGACAAGCACAAGGTCGTGAGTTTGATTCCCAGTACTGGAAAAGCAAAAAAAGAAAATAAATAAATAAATAAATAAACCATTGTGTCATCCCTAAATTTAAATTTTAACTAGCTTGAGGTTACGTGAAAGGGATGTATCAGCCCCCAGCGTGAGCCCCACGGCACGATTTTATACACACCGTACTGTAGCTGCGAAATCTCTCTGACCCAGGCCATATGGTAGACCACCTCAAATTCCACCAGCACGTAAGAGATTCTGTTATACTGACGGATGACAGCTTTACCTTCTGCACTTGACAAAATTTCTGAGTTTTTCTGTTTTTCAAGGAAAAAAAAAAAAAACCAGAAAAAAATGTATTTTAAGAGGGTACAGGCTATTTTCATAGACTTCAAAATGGCATCCATTGGTCATGCTACCAACTTACATTTTTATTTATTTATTTTTGGTATCAGAAATTGAACTCAGGGCCTTGAGCTTGCCAGGTAGGCGCTTGTGCCACTGAGCTATATCCCCAGCCCAACTTAGATTTTTGCCTCAGAGTAAAATGGAGATGGGGAAGGCTACAAAAGCTACAGATGAGAGTAGGGAAACACTAACACCAGAGATAGAACACTGGAAAGGGAAAGAAAGGTTTAGAGCAAGAGGCTGCTGGCCTTACAGCCAGCCCGACATTAGGCTAGGCCCTCCCGATTTTTCTGGAGAAGATAAAATTGATTGATTTTCTTTGATTATCCATATCAAAGGCCATGCCTAAATTCCAGTGTTAAAAAAAAAACCTCTATACAATTAAAAGCCAACTTTCCTTGCATAAAATGAAAGATTTGGGTTTCAATTCATTTACATCAGGGCAATTTCTACCATGCCATTATGGCAATTCAGTCCCCACCTTGGCCTCTGTCTAAAGCCAGGGTTTCTTCTTTTTCTTTGTTTTTTTTTTATCTTTTTTTTTTTTTTTTTTTTTTTTTTTTTTTTTTTTTTTTTTGTCTTTTTCAGACAAGGTCTCACTATGCAGTTCAGGCTGCCCTTGAGCTCACCTTGTAACCTAGGTTGGCCTTGAATTTGCTCTGATGCTCCTGCCTTAACCTCATGAGTGCTTGGATTACAAGTGTGCGCTACCACACCCGGCTTTTTCTTTTTCTTTTAAATGTTCAGAACAGTGAAATAAATGCTAATAGTCAAACACAAACTGAATATATAATAATGCCCTAATGTTAAAATTACTTGCAGGACACCACCTTGCGCTTATTCTGTTCTATGTTCAGGCATAAGCACAACATCAAGAGAACCAAGTCTATTCAGCTTCTCTGCCTCTCTCTTAAAAACAAAACTAAACAAAGAAAAGATAAAACAGCAGCCTCAAAATGGCAACAGGACCTATGACTACCCTGATTTTCAGAACTCTAATAATCTGAAAGATGTAAAGAATGAACAGATCCTGTTATCTTTCTAAGTCTCAGTTCTTTGTACAGGGATACACTCGCTGTATTTCCACTTTCATTAAATACATATCAGCGCCCTGTCAACACACAGGAGGAGTAAGCTTCACAGCTCGGCCTGTACTTTGTTGTATTTTCAAAACTTTTTAAAAGACTTTATTAAGTGTCTTGCGTTGTTAAAAGTCATAACATTGTAAGATACAACAACTCTGAGATAACTGCAATTGTACTACCTTATTTGTTAAACATGAACGAATTTATTCAGTCTCTTTCCAGTGTATTTACAAGCTAAATTTTCCTTGCCCAGTAAAATTGGCTCTAACTACTTTAGTGGGCACAAATCTTACAGAATAACCATATTTGTGATATAATGATGTATCATACCCACCATAATCCACACATTAAAACTTTAATCATTGGCTTACAAAGAAGTAGTCGATGGGCTCACTTATCCGGCGATAGAGCTGCCTCACCCACAGGATCTTCCCCGCTATAGGGGGCATATTGCGTGCAAGAGGGGGATCATCTTTTTGAGAATGATAGAGCTGTAATTAAAAATATAATGTTCATGTTTGAATTTGATACAATAGAGAAGGCAAAAAAATTTTTTGTAAGTTATCATTATTTACACATTGTATATGCAAGAGGCAGTCCATAAATATGTTAATGAGCTTCAGGGATGATAACTGGAGGCTCAGGAACATTTGTCGTATCACATGAATTTTTTTCTGCTCTTACCCTGAATTTTAAGGAAGTATTCAAAAGAAGAAGTAGATAGCTACTTTATACCTGTGTTACGGTTTGTGTCTAGATGCTCCCTCAAAATCTCATGTAGGCTTGGGGCGGGCTTCTAGAATTTGTGATTGATTCACAGTCCAGTGCTGGGATTATGGATGTGAGTGCTGCACCCGCCCTGG